TTTGTTTAGTTCTTTTTTCATAATAGATTTAATGTTTAGTATAGAGCTTAGAAAAAATCGCAGTGTAAGATAGGTAAGAAGTAAGGCATGTAGCAACATCAGCACGGCAAAGGGCACTCTTTTAAAGGCAAGGAAGAGCAAAAATATTTTAAGTCAAGTGATACCAATTGCTGTATGTGTCGTACGATTTTTGAATCAAGCACGAGCAATGCCGGGCCATGCTGTTAGTAACATTATAAATATCCGACTTCTAATCGTTGTTGGTGGTGATTCTACCAGAAAAAGTTACGGTAGAAAGCCTAATCATCAAAGAACGGTTAGAGCAACTCTTTGATCTCAAACAATAAACAATCAGTTGATGGGAGACATCTTGACGAAGTTTACACATTTTTCAGTGTCCCTGCATTTATTTCTTTACGATCAAAATGTGATTTGTATTTGAACGCTTCGCGGATCCTGGTGATGTTTCCTTCGGTATCAGTTTGCAAAAAGAAAAATATTGACTCAAAATTTGATCGTCCAGATTTTGAAGAATCTTCGAGAGAAGAATTTCCCCATCAAAACTGGCCAAACATTCTTTGGCATGTCAGGAACCGTTAAGTTTAATTTCTATAAATGGAACGAACATTTCTTAACATTTCCTTTACTAACGAGCCTCCTATGAATTACGGACATCATTCAAGCATCTGATTTGAGCCTGATTTAAATTTCTTTCAAAAGAATTAAACAACTCTGATATATCGTATTCTGCAAGGAAAGACAAAGAGACTTGAAGCAACAGAAAGTATACTGAGAATTCCAGGAACTGAACATGTCAACAACAATGAAATTAAAAAAAGAAAAAAATCGAAAAAAGAACACAGCATCGGTTTAAAAATGAACTTTCTACGGCACATAATGAGGAAAAATGACATGGAGAATTTGACACACAGGTCATATTGAAGGTTATAGGGACAGACAAAAAACGCATAGCCTACTTAACGAGTTAAACATTGTTGACAGACCAGAGATTAGGAAAGATAGTGAAATGACAAGATTTATTAAGAGCTACAAAGGACAGAAAGACAAGATCTCCAACATTCTAAAGAGACACGGCGTATAGAAGAAGATTGAAAAACATTCTCTGAAAGTGGTCGTGTAAAAATTAACCTAATAAACTGAAATTATAATTTTTCCTATTTTATGATAATAAGCAACGTCAAGAATAAGGCAATTTAGAGAAAAACTAAAAGAAGACGCTATATATAACATTATACTTTCCTTGTAAGAAACTAAGCTCATTTCGTTACTTTGTTGCGTTCACTTGGACCGTCTAGGGTATAAGAATAAACAGCATATGGCAGCAAGGCCCCTGATCGTGAGGTTAAACGTTTTGAGAAGCATGGAATCTCTTCTTAACTGCCGTTGTCCCCAGCTCCATCCTAACCCGGTTTGGTAGCACCTGTTAGGGTCCCAGCTATGGGAAAATAGTGAACTCCCCGACAAAAAATTAACCAGTACAATTTTATAATAAAATAAGCCACAATACATTTTTAAAATCAATACAATACTAAAAATATAAAAATATTATTTATATAATATTTATATTAAAATTAACAATACTGTTGTAGAATACTTATGGGCGATAATTGGTATGTCCCAATTCACATAAATACTTTAGTAAATGCTGTATGTTGGTCGGCAGTTGGAGATTCATTGTGGAATTCACTTGACTCACTACTACTTTTTCTACGCACTGCTGGCAAATCTTATATGTGTTGTTCGTGTCCTAAGTATTATCGTTCATTACCAACGTTCGTTTGTTTATTCTATTCAGTAACCTTCCATAGGTTCAACAAATGCATAATATTTATCGTAAAATTACCAACAATACATATTATGATCAGCAAACTATATATCTAAAAACATATCTTTGCTCTAAACGTATAAAATGAAGTAAAAAATATCTGCAGTTGAAAGCATAAAACTGCGTACAAAATATTTAGGTTTTGATATTAAATAACCCATAGATTTTCAAGAGTCTACCAGGTCACTGCTAATACGTGAACATCCTACCACCAAAGCAGTCAACAGCAGTAATAATTTAAAAGTATATGCATTATTATAGAAGACAGCATATTAGCAAATTAATCAGTGCTACTATAAAGTGGTCGAACCATTGTAGAAGTCTTCAAACATAAAGCTTTGTTCCAGCCTAACATGTGTAAAGCAAATACCTGCGCATGTTTTGACTCTATTTGCTTGCATTATACGCAGATTGAAGAGGTGTCTATTATTATTATTATTATTATTATTATTATTATTATTATTATTATTTCAAGATGGCTCAGATCCCTTTAATTCAAAACAAGTTATTATTTTTTATTCCTTTTTTTTACTTCTTCGAGATGTTACCGTGATCAGACATGAATATCTCTTTCAACAACAACAACAAACTCTTAGCAAAGCTAAAGAAAGGAAAAAAAGAAAGAAATCCTCAAAAAGCAAGTGAAGCATATTTAAAAAAAAATAATAATTTAAACCTCTTCTGAATTCATAAAGCCTTGATAGAAGGCATTTGAAATTATGTTAGCCGGGATGGAGAATCGATTGAATTGAGATTTTTATGCAGCAGGAAGTTGGCCACCAAAGAGAAGGACATTTCTCTAAAAAGAATAGTAGGAGAATAAAAGAATTGAAAAGGCTTGAAATCATGATGCTTGCAACGTCACTCTTTTGGTGAACATTTTACAAATCTTAATATGACTATATATATATATATATATATATATATATATATATATATATATATATATATATATATATATATATATATATATAATGTATTCTATGTCTTTCAATTGCTCAATAGAGCCAGACTCTTTTTGCTATGTACTTTTTCATTGAGATCAATATTATTTACCAAGAAGGCTTTTTTTTTCGGACTGTCTTTAGAAAAATGTAGTAATAAAATTAAATAAAGAAAACATTAAAATCGCATGAGTCAAACTCAGATCATATTTATTCATATTTATTTTGTATTAGGTCTTTAAATGTTTCTTTGCCTTAGAATTAAAGAAAAAAGCCCATGATAATAAACATCTATACATATTTAATACGATACAAGGGACGTGTTTTATGTTAGATTGACGCACAGGGACAATGTACAAAAAATACTCCTTTGAGATTAAACAATATTAAGTAATCTATAATCCGCATTCATAATTATTCCTTTAGGATGTGTATGATCACGATTCTCCACGACTTCTTGTCATTTGTAACTCTTTGCAATGACTGCTTTTTTATTATCCTTCCCACTTACTATTCTGCCATATATTTGCACAAGCCCCCATAGGCAGAATATTTTCTGTCTCTCCTGCATTCCAGTTAGCCTTGTGAGTTTCAAATTTTTAGAGCCCTCTTTCCTCCTTACCAATTCCCGTAAAATCACCATCGAGACTGGCCAGTATCGAGGTGGGTGACCTCTTGGGAATATTTAGGTGATGTAAGCTTGCAGGAGGCAGGGTTCGAATTCCAGACGAATCCATTACATTCACTTATGGGAACGGTATGAATCCCTTTATTCTTCCAATTCATCTATGGGTAAATAGGAGTACAGACTGGGTTCTATAGCTTTGGATGGTAACTGCTTTAGCGCAGGAAGAAATGGAAACCTACTACAGAAAAAAAAATCTGCCACGTCCTTGATATATCGAAAGATACATGATCGCGTAAGCGTGTATCATGCATGGAAAATTAACTGACTGAAGCTTGGATGTGTGAGTGGCGTAATGACTCGGAATTCCTGACAGGTTCCTTATAATCACTTATGCTTAAATATCCTTTAAAAAGGTATAGATCCACATGTTCTCCCTCCAGCTATGGGTTAATTAGTAAGTCTTGTATCGCTAAAACCTTTATTATCTCAACAAAATAAAAAAATAAAAATTGCATACAAAATATTTAGATTTCTGAATTAATATAACCCATAGAATTTGATATGCGGCTAAACAAAACAACCTTAAACGGTATAAAAATATTGATATATGGGTGTTCAGCAGTCTTTTCTTTGTTTAAAACGAAATTCTATTGTTTTTTAATCGTTTGTTTTGGTTTTCGCTAATAGGACTTTGGATTCTGCCGTCTATTTTAACACTTCTCCAATACTTCAATATCTGAGTCTGTCTATATTTCTGAGGTATTATGTACAATATTTACATTATTCGGACTATCACGTTTCGGCCGTTGTACGCTCCGGCTTTCTTCAGGTGGTTGGAATTTCGAACTGAACCCTTTATTTCGCCCCCTTGTGTAGGCCGTTCTTGTTCCACGTGCCATGTTTGATGGATGTCAGTTATCAGTTATCTCCTGCTAATTTTCCCTTTGAAAGTTCTGCCTCAACCGGGTATTGAACTCACAGTCTTTTGGTCCTGTCACTGGATCTAACCAACGCCTTTATCCACTGTGCCATGATGTATTCATACCCAGATGTCTTTGAGGACATCTGGGTATGAATTTCTGGGTATTATAAACCTAATGTCCTCAGCAATCATTTTTACCAGTGATAACTGACATCCATCAAACATGGCACGTGGAACTAGAACAGTCTACCCCAGTGAGCGAAATAAAGGATTCGATTCGAAATTCCAACCACCTGAAGAAGGCCGGATCGTACAACGGCCGAAACGTTGTGATAAATATGGCGACAAAGATGAGGACAATAGTCCGAATAATATAAAGTTAAATATCTTCTTACAATTGACAATAGTCTTTTCTTCTCCCTTTCCTTTACTACCTTAACTAGGAGTTTCTACAGTTTTCTTTCTGTGTCACTCTCTCAACGACTAGTAGCTTGGTAGACCACGTTCTTTTCTAAACATATACCTCTAAGAGGACATTGTTATAGTGGTGTATGCGCGTTGATCTTTTTAGCCATGGTATTTACTCGTCTCTCCACGGTGACAAGATGTAGAACATCCTACTGTAGAACAATTGCTCTGTTTCCCAAATTCTATATAAAAAGCATTACGATCACACCGCTTCCTGTACATTCACCGAAGTTAAGCAACGCTGAGCATGGTCAGTACTTATATGGGTGACCGCTTGTGAACACCAGCTGCTGTAAGCTTGGATTTGCGGGTGGTGTAATGGATAATGGCTCAGAATTGTTAATGGGTGAATTCCAATTGCAGCTGGGTTCGTTATATTCACTCACGCGCAAATACTCTTGCGAAAGGCATGAATCCACTTTTTCTCCGCCCCCAGCTATGGGTTAATTAGTAAGACCTGTACTACTAAACTATTATTATCACCAAAAAATAAAATAAAATTGCATACAAAATATTTAGATTTCGGAATTAAATAACCCATAGAATTTGATATGCCGCTAAACAAAACAACCTTAAACGATATAAAAAGATTGATATATGGGTGTTCAGCAGTCTTTTCTTTTTTTTCTAACGAAGTTTTATTGTCTTATAATCTTTTGTTTTGGTTTTCGCTAATAGGACTTTGGATTCTGTTGTCTATTTTAACACTTCTCCGATAGTTAAATTTCTTCTTACAATTGACAATAGTTTTTTCTTCTCCATTTCTATCATCTACACACTATATCTAAATAGCATACGTTTACTCTGAATGTATAAAATTCCGTACAAAATATATGTAGTTGAAGGCATAACATTGCGTTCAAAATATATGTAGCTGAAACCCCTAAAATTAAATAATTTAAATAACCCACAAAGGTTTTGATATGCTGCTAAACAAAATTAGCAACAACCACTACCTGCCTCAGCGTCATGTCATCGGTAACTAAACTGGTGGACCCACCATTTTTTTTCAACTGTTGGAGAATACCTAGACACCCAGCATGATTAAAAACAAGACCTACCAAATAGCCATCTAGCACAATGGGGTAGGTGTTATAGTGGAACAAACCTATTCTATAGTTAATAGACTCTCCCACCTATAATAAGTATGAGTAGTAGTAGCAGTCGCTGAGAGAGTTGGTCAGTCAGTCGACTGGCTGATTGGTTGAACTCTCTGCCTTCGGGCGGGGAGGAACCCGAACGAGGCTACGCCGAAGGGCGGTTTCTCTTTCGAGGAGGTAAATCGACCCTGAACCCGTTTATACGGGTTCAATGGGCATATTTTCGGCCGAGCCCACGTGCTCAGAGATCCCACGTTAAACCGGCCTTGTGTCACATGATGCCCTCGTGGGGGGGGTGACTAAATATCGAGTTGGTCAGTCAGTCGATGTCGGACGACCGTTAGTCGGATATTAAAGTATCAGCCACCACAACTAGATTACTGCGTCATTATCTATATTATCAAGTTCCTAACGTTTTGTACGTCGAACCTATTTTAGGACCGACTTAGTATAAATACAAGCCACCACTGTGAATCCACTACATAACAGGTAGACTGAGCCCCTTAGCTATGTATGCATCCAATGTGGTGACCATAGCACTTCTACGTGGAGGGCTTTCAAGATTGAAGTTAATAGCCAGGGTATCAGTTTCCCTCAGTGCAATAAACAGCTACGTATCCGTGACAAAGGAGATCTGTACCACTAAACCATTATCATCTCCAGAAATAAAATAAAATTGCATACAAAATATTTAGTTTTCGGCATTCGATAACCTATATTGGTTTTGATATGTCGCTAAATGAAAACAACCGGCCAATACTTTCCTCGTTATATGTCTCAGGAATTTCAACTGTTTCTTTATTATTCTAAGTATAATTGTCTGCTGCTTTCTTTCCACGAAATTTCTTATTCATCTCTAGGGAAACTGCCCGGAAAGCACTCCACTACAGTAGGACTGATATTAGGTAGCAGTTCAGAACTATGCCTTTGTTTTAAACAAAATTGCCCTGTTTCTTCATACTATGTTTATCTTGTGGAAAGTCTTTTTCTATTTAAGTGCGACATCAAATTTATGCGATATATATTCCGTCGTGACTTAAAACAATTCTCAGTGAATGAAATTTCTATTCTATTTGATTTTGACGTCACCAATTTGTATGTTGCATTCTGAGCTGTCCATTTTGCTAACGTCTATATACTCTGTCTTCTTAAAATCTGTTATTACTCCTTTCTCCCATATTCGTTTACTATCTTGTGGGAAGTTCTTGTCCTTTGCTATCAACATGGTGCCATCCTAAAATCGTTTAGTATAACATGTTGGATAGCATGTTCTATTAGAATACAATTTATTAATGTAGTTTCTCAATGAGAACCGCAATACAATGATCTTGATCCAGACTTATATAATCCTAGTAAACAATCATAAAAAGCGATAATTATTATGCCTTATCATCACTAGAGTAAATATGCTCCTTATAAATGTGTCTCAATAGCATAGCCTTATGCCAGACTAAGCCAAATTTATAAAAGACGCAAAATGTAGAGTCACTGATCGTTCGCTTTTGAAGTGCCCCAATGCTAAAGATAAACTCTCGACTAAAGGTCAATGTACTTCATTCGGTATTGTTCCACTAGACAATAGCTTATTAGGTATCCGTTTATCTCGTGGGATAAAAGGTAGCGCCCTGTTTGATGAAAATTCAATCCTTTGGTCATTAAACTATAGTGAACTCTCCAGGACTCAGTCCAGTGCGATGGCATATGGAGGCCGTGGGCTGCCCAGACTGCCTAGCTGAACATTCGGGCGTACCGATAAGATGCAAAGAATACAGGGCATTACATTTGTCTGCAAGAACTGCCGGAAAGTTGTCAGTGTTGACAGTCAACAGCCTTCGGGGCATTATTCCAGGTTTTCTCTCTTGACTTACTTCCATAGCCTTTTTCCGTGTTTGGATATGACCGTAAGACAGCGGAGGTTTAAAATCAGAGTTTTTCTTCCCCTAGATGAACTGCCTGACTGGGCTGTCGAACTATATCAACTGGTTATCAGGCGCCAATTTCCCGTCTTCGCCCATCTTTGGGCATGAAGCTGGACTTAGTAGTCAGAGGCTATTTGAGACGAATGTCGCGGCAGCATTTTATAGACAGTGAGAGCTTGTCTCCACTAACACCTCCAGCTTTGAAACATATAGAATGTACGTATATGAACATAAAGAAAGATAAATTAAGAATTATTACCAACACAGATATCGATAAGATTGTTAATTTTAGAAAAAGATAGCACAAACAAAAATGAAAGTAGAAATAGGAATTTAAGACTAAGATGCCCAGAAATTATGAAGTAATTATTTATCATAAAATCAAATAATTTGTACTGCCTTTTTGACGTTACCACAAAGAAAGTGGGTTCGCCGAATAGGTGAAAGTTTTTCTTACCTGACTCCATTCTTCAAATCTATAAATCAACCATTCGGCCTTGCATGGAATACTGCTGTCATATATGGTCTGAAGCCTCCATTGTTCATCTTAAGTTCCTCGACAAAATCCAGAGACGGATATGCAATGCGGCTGGCCCTGATCTGGCATCTCGTTTACAGTCACTCTCTCACAGACGTGCCGTCGCCTCCCTCTGTCTTTTCTACAAATACTTTCACGGTAACTGTTCCCACCATCTATGTCGGTAGTTTTATAAGATCAGCGCTCCGTTTAAAACATGGTCACGTTGTCGTCACGTGGGCGACGCTGTGAAAACGTGGCGATAACGTGACCATGTTTTAAACGGAGCGCTGATCTTATAAAACTTTCAGTTATCTGTTTGGATAAGTCTTGTTCTTATGTACATCGTCTTTGTCATGTTGAATTGATAATGTTAATTATATTTTATGAATATGTCCTGAAGATGGTTTATTAGACCGAAAACGTCCGACGTTGACATATTAACATTAAAACAGCATAATTGTATATAAGGATTTTTGTTTGTTTTTTCCGTATATATTTTTTCTTCATATATATATAAATATATATACACATATATATATATATATATATATATATATATATATATATATATATATATATATATATATATATATATGTGTGTGTTTGTTTGTTGCGAATGTCAGAAACCCCTGCAATGACGCCTCAGAGTCGCAAAGAAAGCAGAATATTAGCAATTAACAAAAACGATATCATTTGAAGATTTTCATTAACAGCACGAAGTAAAATGGCCTGTATATGCAACTGGAAGAGAAAATAATGCCATAATTTCAAATGCTGATCTTCGACACTGCTTCAAACAAAAGATTAGCAAGGAAAGCCCCATCAATACTGGAGAAGGTGATAAGAGCTACTGGACTTGAGAAAACTGTTTTTCTGGAATATTGTTTTTGAGAGTGATTATATAAACAGTACCCTTGATTGTTCTTCAATGAATGTCGAATGCTTATATGTAAAGAAACAGTTAATATTAAAATGACTGTTATATGCTTGTTTACATACTGTTTAACTTAGGCATTGAGTGATAGCCACCTGTTACCTTAGAGCTTTCTTAAAATATATTGTCATTGATTCTTAATGTGTGATACAATTCCCGGAGCTTATGGCAGCTTTTGGTAAATATAACAATTAAGCATATAAAGTGTATTTAATCAACAAGTCCATCTTGCAAACCTTTTCCGAGTATAACAAATTTCATCCATTGGACTTTTTTGTATTCATTTTACCTCCAAGCAAAGCGATAATGCCACTAACACGCAATAGGTTACTAGGAGTGAAAGTGAATTACAAGATTTTATTGAAGAGGAAGTACAGAGATCAGAGATACAGACGATGGCAATTGGTATTGCATTTAGATTTGTTGCAGATTGTGGGTGACGAGAAAGCAAGACATCGAAAAGGTGTTCGACAAAAGAGAGGGTGAATAATGAAACTATTAGAATAGAACATACAGTTGTATCGACCTAGTTCCACAGTAAAACAGTGAAACTTAGTTACCAATCTAGTAGCACGCTTAAATTCATGCAGTTGTGAATACAGGCCCGGTCCAGGATTAGAACAAGATACTAAAATAAGAAGCCAGAATAAGAACGTGTTTGTTCAGCGGCATATCAACTAATTATGGGTCATTTAATGAGGAAATTTAATTTTCATTTGACCATTAGTAATTTCTTTTACAAAAATTTGTTGCTGGTAATTCCTTTTACTATGAAAGTGCGTGGTATTTGTATTATAAATATGCATTTTTATACATTCATAGTG